TGGGAAGGAAGGGGGCTTGGTCAAGCTCTGGGAAGCTGAGGGCAGCCAAGCGAAATACTCCCGGTTGTTCTCTTGAACTGAGATTCATGAAAAGGCCGCAAGAAAAGCGGCCTCCTGACTGCTGGCTTTCACTTTAGAAACGAGTTTCAATCCTAGTTTATTAAGGGCCTATTTTTCAGGTGTTTTTTAAATGAAGAGTTTCCCAAGGGGCATTTACCAGACAGCTGTTTGCAGGCAGGCAGGATTTGAATCGGGAGGGAAGATGCTGGACACATGATCCATGCGCAGGCCATGTGCAGGAGGAAAGGAGGAGAGGAGCATGATGCACCAGCCTGGCCCCGATGGCTTTGTAACAAGGACTGCTCTCAAACAAAATGCAACGGACCAAAGCTTTCCATTTTATACCCGTCTGGGTCTTATCAGGTCAGCGACCTGTGTGCACTGCCCTCCGCACCAGTCCCTGGGCAAGGAATGGCCACCGGGCCCCAATGGTTTTGGCTTAAAGCTCTTGCTGGCCCCTGGAAGGAAGCCTGGTCCCTAGGCAAACCAAGTGGCAGAAACTGCCCAGGGCTCCCAGGGGGCCTTTCAGCGACACCCAAGGGGCAACGTTAACAACATGTGACCTGGGAATGGATCCAAGCAAGCCCCTCTCCTGGGGCCCAGGACCAGCGGGGGGGACAGGAGCCGCTGGCTCAGCAGCTCCATCCAGGCCCTCCGCCTGACCACAGGCCACGCCGTACTTACTCAAAGTGCCTCAGAATGGGCTTGTCCCCACATACCGGGGGGGCTTCCTCTCGCCTGGGAGAAAAAGGGAGTTAGTGCCAGTGGGCCCTCCTCCGCACTGTGCCACAAGCTCGGCCAAGCCAGCCCCCGAGGCAAGGGGGACATGCAGCAGGGGTGGGGCTGGGGGCGCTTTCTGGAAGGAGCCGTGCTCCCCCTGGCCATCTGGCCAAGGTAGCCACCGCTTGGATTCTGCAACCAAGGGAACCCAAAGTAGGGATGGAGGCCTCCCCGGACACAGCAGGGCGCCCCCTTGTGGAACGGATGGGATACGCTCTTCCCACCTGATTCTGCGGGGTGGAAGCGGGTGGCCCCAGGACGCCAGCTCAGCCAAGCGGCTGCCTCGGGCTCCTGGCAGCTGGAGAGGGCAGCGGAGCGACAAGCACCCCCAAAGCCCAACCAGGGAACTTCTTGCCCAGGAAACGGCCCTGCTGGCAGGGAGGGCAGCTCAACGCTGCCCACCCGCCTGCCACACCCAGGCTGTCGCTTACCAAGCAGAGGCAGCCATGACACGCAACAAGCCCTCACTGACTTACACCACTGCACACCACACCCAGGCCGTCACTTACCAAGCAGAGGCCGTTTCGCGAAGTCTGGAAGAGGAAATAGCATTTAAGCCGGGCAGGTGCTGGAGAGCGCAAGAGAGCTGAGAGAAGCTCAGAGCAGCTAGAAAGAGAACAGACACACACGCAACCCCACCTGCTTCTCAACCCCCTTGCAGGGCCTGGGGAATCAGCCCGCCGGTGCACGCTGGCCCGGAGGAGAGGAGGCAGCCCGAAAGACGCTGCAGGGGGCCCGGGAAGGAGGGAGCTGCCCCTGTGCATCACACGCCATCCTCCCCAACCCTCGGAGCCTTGGCCCCTGTCTGGTGGGGGGAGAGACGGACAACCCTCTCCTTCCCCAAGTAGCAGGAGGGCCCTGGGGGGGGCCCTGGGGGCCTCATCGGATTAGTCACCAGGCGCCACGTTCTGCCAGCTGCAGCAGCTGAGCCTCTTCCCCTCCCGCCCGGGCTGTGGCCCCAACCTGCAGCTGGGGGCCAAGGCTGCCACGGCACCGTCTGCTTGAGAAGAGTGAGCCTAGGGAGAAGGGCTCCCTGTGTGTGTCCCCCCCACCGAGAGAGAGAGAGGCACCCGAACCTTCCACCTGCTGGCAAGGGAGACCTCGGGACTAACGGCAGAGACGGGTCCCTGCCCAGGAAAACCCCAGGAAGGCGGCTCTGGGCAAACCTCCCACGCCTGCAAGCTGCCCCCGTCCCCCACAGTCCGCTTGGCCGCCCAGCCGGGACCTACTTGAAAACGCTCCTCTCGCCCAGGCCAGCCAGCTGCTCTCCTTCCCCAGGGCCCAGCGGCGCAGAGAGCTGCATGCAGGAGGTGCTGCTGTACGAGCCCGTCGAGCTGGGCCTGCAAGGGAGACGGGGGAAGAGCTGCAGCTGATCAGCCACTTGCACGGGGGGCTTTCTGGGCCCCCGAGGAGAGCTCGATTAAGGCTTCCACTGGCCAGCATGGCAGCCTTGGGGGGACATGTGGGGCCCCCATCCATGCCCCACGCCCAACTCACGGCTGCTCACGGCTCTCCTCCTCCAGGCCCGGCATCTGCGGAGGGCTGGGAAGGGCACCTCGGTCCTCCTCCTGGGCCAAGGAGCGCCGGGCGCCCTGCCGGCCCTCGTCCCCTCTGCGCCGCTCCTTGGCCCGGGGGCCCAGCAGAGGCTCTTCTGCCCCGTCCTCCTCCTTCAGGGCATTCTGCGAATCAGAGAGGCGGTCAGCCAGCAAGCAGGCACAGGCAGGCAGCGGGGTGGCCTCCCTCCGTGGGTCCTCACCTCGTAGAGGGCAAGTTGCTGCCTCAGGTCTGCGTCGGTGCCCTTGCTGGCCAGGTGGGCCTGGACGAGTCGCTCCATGCCCTGCTGCTCCAGACAATCTGTCACGTCGTAGAAGGAGTCCTGGTCAGGGAGGGCAGCCAAGGTCTGCAAGCCCCAACAGGACACAACCATTAGCTGGCCCCAGCCACCCACCCCGGGAAGTGCCACCTGCCCGCCCTGCCCGCCCTCACCTTGTTGATGAGTGTCATTGCAAACACCTGGAGCTCCGTGTCAGCCCCGCTCTTCTGCTCCAGGATGGCCACAAGGCGAGACCACGGAAGCCCACCTGAAAGGCAGGAAGTCAGGAAAGGAGGAGGAGGGGCTGCCTGAAGATCCCTCTTAGCATCGCCACGTGGGCAGAAGGCCTTCCGTTGCAAGAGACATGCCGGGGCCCCTCTTCTTCCTCCCCCCCCCAGAGAGGCGGCCTGCCCCTCGCGGCCCTTGGGGGCCACCCAAAGTGGTTTGCTTGATGAGACTGGAAGGTGGCACTTTCCAAGGAGAAACCAGGAGGCGCCAGGCTCTGCGCTCACCTCTGACCTGCTCTACAGCACCCACAGCCTGGATCAGCAGCTGGGCATTGGACTCGGTGAACTCCACAAAGACCAGGAGCAGCTTCAGGGCCGTCTTCACCACGAGGCGGTACTAGAGGAAGGTGAAGGGAGCTGCGTGAGCCGGCCTTCTCCGGCAAAGGCAACGAGGGGTGTAGAGATGGGCCCCTTCAAGCGAGGGCTGCGCAGGAGGGATACATGTCCAGCGCTTCCAGCAGCTGATGGCTTCTGGGGTCTTCCTTGAGCTCACGCCTCTGATCCCTCCCCCGCTGGGATTCTGCCTGGAGGCTCTGAAGGCCCAAGGTCTGAATTGATCCCGAGGACCACCCAGTCCAGGGATGCCCTTGGCGGAGGCGAGGCGTGCCGGAGGTGGCCTTGCTCCCAGGACAATGCCCTTGGACGTGCCGACTGGAGGGTCTGGCCACCCTAGAGAAGCACAGGAGCGCAATCTCCAGCTGCTCAGACCGCAGGAAGGATGAGCTGAGCCGGCCAGATCTCCTCCCAGGGCTGCTGGGGAGGGGATCGCCAGAGGAGATCCCGAGCGAAGGGTCTGAAGCCAGGAGTAAGCAAGGAAAACCCGAACGCCCTCTGCTGGCAGAGGGGACCTTCCCTCACCAGGCTGCCCGTCAGGGCGTAGAGCCACTGCAGGGTCTCTGGGTGCTGGATCACCCCCATCATCCCGTCCACGAACAGCATGATCTGGCTGAGAGCTGCAAGGCAGGGAGAAGAGCCATCCCGTGGGAGCCCCAGCGGCACTGAGGGCACCAGGGCAGGAGGGGGTGGACCAGGCTGCTCAACTCCTGGGCACTGCCTGGGGGGGGGGCACTTCTGCAGAACATGCAGCCAAAACCCTCCTGTGGAAAGCCCCCCCCCAGACGGACGGGCGCATCCAGGTGAAAAAAGGGCTAATTTCCAAAGCAAAGGTGAAAACCGCAGGGCCTGGGAGGCAGAGGGTCCCCCTGGGCCTTGGCCCCTCACTGGCCACGGAGGGCAGCCCCGGCTTCTGCCCTCACCGGCACAGAGAGTTTGGCGGGGGGGTGGTGATCAAGGAAGCCACGCGGATGCCTGCAGAGAAGCGCAGGAGAGTCCCTGGGAGAAGGTGGCACTTCCCACACTTGGGGACGGGGGTGGGGTGGGGGGAGGGGTAATGGATGGACAGCCCCCCCCCTTCCTCCACCAGGCACCCAAAGTCTACCTTGGGTCTCCTGTGCTTTGTTGCTGCACCCATAAAAGGGGCGGGGCCAATGCCCTGGACCCACTGAAAGCTGCCCAGCCAGCCGCCTTTCTCAGAGCAGAGGCAGAAAAGGCAGAGGCCCTCCCCTCCCCCACTCAAGTGGCTGGTTGTTTACTCAGTTCTCCACCAGGGGGCAACATTGGTGGGAGAGAACCGCAGGGATGGCCCCTCCTCCCTCCCAGGGGCTTCTGGCCCCCTTCCCCCAATTTAGCCCAGATCCTCCCTCGGTGGGAGGCAGGGAGGTGGAAAGAGGGGCGAGGGGAGCACTCCCTGGCCTGGCCACCCACTGGGCCGCTTCAGCTACCCAGGCAGGCGCCTTACCCCGCAAGATGTAGTTCTGGTAGTTCTGGTCGGCTTCGGCTCCCACCGAGACGAGGCACGTCAGCCCTTCGGAGTTCACAAACTCCGGCACCAGGTCCTTGTCCTCCTGCAGCCCAAAGGCAGAGCCTGAAAGACCCCCCCGAGGCCCCCGGAAGCTCCCCCTCCCTTGGGCTGGGCTGCCCTGTTCCTTGGCCAAGGCCCCGGCCGGGCTCTGGGAGAGGAGCAGGGACGCTGGCAGGGCCTCACCTGGAAAAGCTGCTTGAGGGAGAAGAGGGAACGCCTCAGCTCCGGGCCCTTGGAACAGTACAGCTTCTCTGGGGGAGAGAAACAGGTCAGGCTCTGGACTCCTCCCACGTGCACCCCACCAACGCCTCAGGGAGCCCATGCCGCAGTCGAAGGGGTCCCTGGCCAGGGGGGCTAGAAGGGCGGATGCTGCAGAAATCAGCTGAAGACAAGCTGGCTTCCTTTGATCAGGGGGTGCCTTCCTCTGAAGAGGCAACGGCTAATCCAGCATTTCCCTGACCAGAGAGCCAGCTTGTCTCCGGCCAGTTTCTGCAGGGCTGCCCCTTGAAAATACCAGGGGACCAGGGAGCAAAAAATAGCGTTGATTTAAGTTAGCCAAGGCACAACCAGCACAATTCCCTCTGATGCTGTCAGCCTTCAAGATTTTCTTCCTTTGCTTTGCATCTTTCGGCTGTCATAAGTAATGGGGGGAGGAGGGGGGACATGGTTAGGCTTCTACCCTATGCTATGCGCAGCTGCAACTCTTTATCAAAATATGTCAAGGTCAACAGAGGCCTCATCACCACCTGGAGATGCCCACATGATCCCACATGACCCAACTTTTTATTTGGTGGACAAATTAAACTATTGTGGGGAGGAACGTTGCCATCACTTGGTATATGTGATTTACGCGCCCATTTTCTCAGATTCAGAATTCTTTTGTTGCTACCACTTGACTTCCAGTAAAAGATACCTTTTCTCTGATTAATGGAGTCTAAGCATTTCTTTCCTGGATTTTGAATGGAGGATGCATTCGGCCGTTCTAGAGAATTGGGGTCCCATGGGTTCTACCCCAAGACAAGCCAGCTAAGATCCAAGTTTAATTGTCTGCACGTGGATGATTTGGAAGCTTCGTCCTTCAAGGCTAGTGGACAGGGGAGGGCAGTGGAAAGACGCTTGTCTCAAGAGCTCTGAGGAAAACGCCGATACCCCCGCAGTGGACCCCCACCGTCCTGGAGAGACGGTGAGTGAAAGGAGCGCATCCGGTTGATCCCAGGGATGTCGCAAAGTCCCTGGTTGATCCCGGAAAGTTCCTACAATCCGGCAGTGGTGGGAAGCAGCCATTAATCTTGAGCCGCTAAGAAGCTGTGCCGGCCTCTGAACAGAAGAAGAACAGAAAGAAGAAAGTGTGTCAGTCTGGGTGAGAAATTCCTACTTAAAAAAAAAAAAAGGTAGAGGAGTACACCAAGTGAAAGATTTATTAAAGAAAGAAAGAAAACAGGAAAATTAAGGCAGCAGCAAACGGCGAGTACTGTCAACTTTATTTGGACTCTTTATTTTTAACACAAAAAAAGGAATACTTTGTTTGCTTCTTTGCTTTGAATAGCTGGACTGGACTGAACTTAAAATCAAGAAGAAATTGAACTTTTTTTTGTTATTTAGTTTAAAATTTCTGAAGTACTTTTTTTTCCTTTGGCTTTTCTTCACTTTCAGTAGATACCCTGTAACTAAGATGACAGCTAAGCAATACTGCCATCTAGAGGTCACAGGGGAAAAAACAATAGACTTTAAAGATTGAGCTATTTTGACTACATAGAAGTGGAGAAAGATAACAAGCCAGCACTGAAAACAGGCGCTGCTCTTATAAAGCTGGTACACAATTTGAAAGTTGAATGAGATAAAGAAAAAGAAAGAACACTGTAACCTTGGTTAATATATATGCTTTGGTGTTTGGCTTTCTGAACTGATTGAACGTTACACTGAGATTCTGGTTCACTTAGTGACATGGATTTATAAATTACAGCTAGTATCTTTTCTTTTTTTCTTTTTTTTTGGTGCTTATTTTTATTTCTGCTGGAGCGTGTGTTGGATTTATTTTTTCCTTTATTTTCCTCTTCTTTGGGCTTGTTTTATTTTTTGGCCCAGTTTCTCATTGTGGATTAATTTTGGAATGTTGGTTTTCTTTTTCTCTACTCTTCCCCCCCCCCTTTTTCCCCCCTAACAAGTGGATTTAAAATTTGGATTTTGTTTTTTTAAAACAAGTGGATTAATGTTTTGAATTTCATATATTTTTACTACATTTTTTTCTATTGGATCTATAGTCTCCTTCTCTGTTATTGGATTCTCTAACTATCTAATAACTAATAATATCATTATTTTTGGGTTTGTTCCTCTTTTTTCTTGGATAAAATTGGATTAAGGTAGAGAAGAACCTGAAGATTTATTTTTACTTTTCCTTGGGCTTTTGTGAATGGATTATAATTTGATTTGATATGAGTAAAAGAATTCCTACTGGATTATCAATTCCTACTTCCTCATCCCTGAGCCCAGCTGGTCAACTATCAATTACAATGATATTTCGGCAGGAGAAAGATAAAAGAAAAGGAGACTTCTATGCAAGAAATAAAACCAATGTTTCAAGTAATACAAGACCAAGGGAAGCGTACAGATGATAGAATGGAAAAGTTGGAGGAAAGGATGGAGAAGATGGAAGGAGATATACAACAGGTCTTAATGATATATGGAGAAAAAAATACAGAAGATGGAAGAAAGAGGTGATAAAACAGATAAGAAAGTAGGAGAAATAGATAATAGATTGACAATGGTTGAAAAGGAAAAAGGGAAAGATTCAATATTCTGAGATGGAAAAGGCTGGTTTCTACTTAAGATTTCAGAACATTGAGGAAGAAAAAGGATAAAATCTTAAAGAAATTATGACAGAAATATTAGCAGAACCATTGGAGATGACTAAAGAAAAAATGATTGATGGAATGGATGAAATATACCGAGTATTCACTAGATATGTGATAAGAAATAAATTACCCAGAGAAGTACATGTGAGATTTACCAAGAAAACAATAAGCACAGAGATACTGCAGAAGGCAAGAGATGACTTATTGAAGTACAAAGGAAAAAACATTATAGCCTTGAAACAAATACCAAGGAAAGTGAGAGATTTAAGAAGAGAATACCAATTTTTTGACTAAGATATTAATAAAATAAAAAAAACTATAGATGGTTGATTCCGGAAGGTCTGACATTCATCTGGCGAGAACAAAGACACAGAATAGATTCGGTGGAAAGTGCAGAATTATTCTGCAATGAATACTTAGGAGGAACAGAAGATGAGAGAGCAAGAGAAGAGGAACTCAAAATATGAGCAGAAATGGACATGGAGAAGAAACAAAGGGAGGAGAGGAGACAGGAGGAGGGAGCAGTAGGTGGCCAAATGATAACTAAAGAACCAAGAGAACAAAGAACAACAAGAGCAATAAAGCCTACTTATAAAGTTTAAATAATGGAAGAGGAAAAGAAATTGATTTCTATAAATATAAATGGACTAAATTCGGCTATTAAAAGGAAAAAGATATTTCATAAATTAGGAAAATTAAACATGGATATAATCTCCCTACAAGAAGTGTATATTAGAAGACAACATGCACATTTGTTGAATTGTCCTAGAATTGGGAATATATTTACATCATTGGCACAACAAAGTAAAAGAGGAGTTGTTTTATACATTAGAAATACAATTAAAGCTAAGCAAATTTATACAGATGAAGAAGGAAGAATATTGATGGTTGAAATAAGATAATAATTTAAAAGTACTTTTAATTGCAATTTATGCTCCCAATAATCAGCAAGACCAATTTTATAAGAAGTTACACAATAAAATAATTGAACTGGAATATGATAAGATATGCATCTTTGGAGACTTTAATGCAATTGTAAATACAGAACTGGACTATAAAACACAGAAAATAAACAAGAAAAATAGAAAAATATTACCCAAATCTTTTTTTAAGATGGTGGAGGAGCTGAGTATTAAAGATACATGGAGAGAATTGAATAGCAAAAATAGACAATTTACATTTTACTCAAATATACATCTATCATGGTCAAGAACAGATATGATTTGGATGTCAACAGATTTAATACCTAATATTCAGGAAGCAAATATTGATACAAATATATGGGCCAATCACAACCCAATAAGGATTAAATGGAAGGGACAAAAGAAAAGGCTAAGATGGACTTTGAATAATTTAATTTTAAAAGAAAAAGAATGTATTAATAACCTGGAAAAAGAATTGGTTTTCTTTTTTAAAGAAAATAAAGTAGGAGAAACTTCATTGCAAAACATATGGGACACTATAAAAGTATATATCAGAGGTATGATTATAACCTATACAAGAAGAAGGAACATTAAAAAGAGACAAACACAACAAATTCTAGAACAAGAACATAAGAAATTGGAGGATTTACAAAAATATCCACAGCACAAAAATATAAAAAAACCAAATGGACATAATTAAACACAAAATTGGACTAATGGAAAAAGAAGAACTGGCGCAAAAGATTAGAGGGGCTAAACAGAATTATTTTGAAAACGCAAATAAACCAGGTAGATGGCTAGCATATAAACTGAAGAAAGAAAAAGAATCAAAAAGAACACCACAATTAATAGATGAAAATGGCACGTTATGTTATGAAAATAAAGAGAAGAAAAAAAATAGTACAGAGGTACTATGAGAAACTATATGAACAAGAGGCAATATTAGAAAACAAAGTACAGCAATATTTACAAGAAGCAGAATTACCGAGAATACCTGATAAAATAAAGACCATGCTAGATGAGAAAACAACAATGATGGAACTGACAGAAGCAATAAATAGACAAAATACTGGGAAAGCTCCCGGACCAGACGGGCTACCAGCTGAATTCTATAAGACAATACAGGAAGTAATCTCTATTACAGTGTTGGAAGAATTGAATGAGGTTCTGACAAAAAATAAAGTACCAGATTCATAGACAGAGGCAAAAAGCTTTAATAGGTAGAATAGGTAGAATTAAAATGAACACATTGCCAAAAATATTACACTTATTCCAGACGATTCCAATAAGATTGAAAAAAAATACTTTGAAGATTTAAATAAAATGATGCTGACATTCATTTGGCAGGGGAAAAAGACAAGAATCAAGATAAAACTACTGCAGGACGCAAGGGTGAGAGGGGTTTTTGGACTACCCAATTGGGAACTATATTACCAGGCAACAATATTGATGTGGGTGAAGGAATGGATTCTATTG